GGTTCAAGTGATCCTCCTGCCTCAGCTCATGAGTAGCTGGGACTACCGTTTTTTCTGTTTCTTAGTAGAGACAGGGTCTTGCTCTTGCTCAGGCTAGACTCCTGGCCTCAAGCAATCCTCTCACCTTGGCCTCTCAAAGTGCTAGGATTATAGGCATGAGCCACTGTGCCTGCCCCTGATATTAACCTTTTAAAAATATTTAGTAGAATTTGCCAGAGAAACAATCTGGGCTTGGAGAGCTGTCTTTGGGAAGCTTTTAATTTTTATATCCAGTTTCTTTACCAGTTATAGTGCTATTCAGATTGTCTTTTTCATCTTGGTTGAGTTTTGGTAGCTTGTGGTTTTTGTGGAATTGATTCATTCATTACATGTTGTTGAATTTATTGGCATAAAGCTATTTGAAGTATTCCTTTCTCATACTTTTTATGGCTTCATGATCTGCAGTGATGTTCCTATTTTATTCCTGATTTAATTTGTGCCTTTTTTCTTCTTATCTTTGCCAGTCCTGGGAAACTTATGAGAAGTATAGTTAATTATACAGATGGTCCCAACTTAGTAATTTTTCAACTTAATGATGGTGGGAAAGTGATATGCATACAATAGAAACTGTACGTTGAGTGCCCATATGACCGTATCCATATAATTGAAAGTGTTTTTCAGTCATTACAGTATTCAATGAATTACTTTATGATAAAATAGGCTTTGTTGATTTTGTTCAACTGTAAGCTAATGTAAGTATTCTGAGCACATTTAAGGTAGGCTAGAGTGAGCTGTGATGTTTGGTAGGTTAGGTGTATTAAATACATTTTTGATTTACAATATTTTCAACTTAAAATGAGTTTATTGGGATGTAAGCTGATTGTAAGTTGAGGAGCATTTGTATTTACCTCTGTTTTTACCCATTCTGGTGTTCTTTCCTTTTTGGCATTTCAAACCTCCTCCTTTTATTATTTCATTTCTCTTTTAGGAGCTTCTTTAGCCATTTTTTGAGGGTAGTTTTGCTACTGATATATTCTGTTAGTTTTCCTTGATCTGAGAATGCTTTTATTTCCCTTTCATTCTGAAGGATATTTTCACTGGATAAAAAATTCACGATTGAATGGTTCTTTCAGTCCTTTATAAATATGCCCCTTCCTCTTGGCCCCTATTGTTTCAGACGGAAAATCTGCTGTGATTAGAATTGATGTTTTTTGGCTCGGTGTGGTGGCTCACACCTAAAATCCTAGCACTTTGGGGGGGTCGAGGTGGGAGGACTGCTTGAGGCCAAGAGTTTGAGACCAGCCTGAGTAAGAGTGAGACCCTGTCTGTACAAAAAAAAAAAATAGAAAAATTAGGTGGGCATGGTGGTCCACACCTGTAGTCTCAGCTACTTGGGAGACTGAGGCAGGATAATCGCTTGAACCCAGAAATTTGAGGTTGCGGTGAGCTATGATGACACCACTGCACTCCAGCCTGGGTGACAGAGGGAGACCCTGTCCCCCCCTACCCAAAAAAAGAATTGATGTTTCTCTATTGGTAATAAGTCTTTTTTCTCTAACTCCTTTCAAGATTTTTTTTTGTCTTTAGTTTTAAGAGGTTTAATAATGATTTTTTTCTTTGTCTTTAGTTTTGAGAGACTTAATTATGATATATCTTAACATGTACCTTTTTTGGTTTATCTTATTTAGAATTCACTTAGTTTCATGAATCTAGTTTTATCTCTTTCACTAAATTTGGGACGTTTTCAGCAATTAATTTTTCAAATACATTTCAGTCTTCTACTCTCCTGGAAGTCTGGTGACACAAATGTTAGCTCTTTTATTATTGTCTCGCTGGTCCCTGAGACTGTTCTTGATCTGCATGACACCTTTCTAGTGGAAGTGGCAAACCAGCTTGCCATCACCTCCTTGGCTCCTGTTGGTGGTGTATGCTCAGCTGCCTGCTTGGCCTCAGTTACTAAGAGGGGGAGACGTGGGAGGACTGACTAATATCACCTTGCTGCTGTAGGTTGGGGTGGGATCTTAGCTGACATCTGGGGTAAGGAAAAGAGGGATCCCAGTGCCATAATACCTGCCGCCCACTACTTTTTTTGCCTTATTGATGCTAGTTGTGGCGGAAGCTCAGCTTTCTACAGGGCCCTGCTGACATTGAGTGTGAGTGAGAGCAGAATGCTGACTAGTTCTATCTCACACTGTGCTATTGATGCCTAAGACGAGAGGAGGCTCTGCTCAGCGTTGATCCCTGCTGACACTACTTTGGTAGAGGAATCAGAGTACCAACTGTTTCTGCAAACTGGGAGATGGAAGTTAACCCAGTTCACTCCTGCTGAAACTGTGGGAACAGGAGTTCCACTGGTGTTTGGCTGGAGTAGAGTGGTTATTGCCAAAAAGATTTTCTGTTTTGTTAGGCCACCCTTTTCTCTGTCCATTGGCATGGCAAAAGGCTTTTCTTGGTGCTTATTTTGTCTATGCCCGTTGATGTTTCTGGGTTGGAGGCTTTTACCGCATTCTGATTGGACTATATAGGAGGCAATAAAGAAACCCTGGGAATTCACCACTGTGCTACTTTTCAGTCTCAAAGTCCCAAGGCACTCCGTCATCTTCTTTCCATCTCTCAGAATGTTCCCATGTTTGTTTGATGTGTTTTGTCTAGCGTTTTTAGTTATAAGGAGGAGGAGCTGGAGATGAAGGTGGGGTTACTTATCTTGGCCAGAACTAGAAGTCTTTGTATTAGTTTTCACTACAGTTAGCCAATAAGGTTTTAAAATTGAGGCTATAAACACCACTATACACACATATACCTCATGTTATGACATTTTGAAATGTTTTACAAGAGGATTCTTATTTAATTTAGACTATTTTGCTGTGTGACTTTGGACATAGGCCCTCAGTTTCCATGTGTATGTGGTGAAATACTGGATTAGATCCTGTAGGGTTCCTTCAATTAATTCTATTAATTCTATAATGTTATGATCATTGAAATAGTTTATTTAAGTCAAGATATGTTATCACTTCTGGGATAGAGGAAAGAACATGGACTTTGGAGGTAGGTCTATGTTTGGATTCTGAAAGATGGAGAGACAGCTTTTACACAGCCGTTAGAAGCACTGATACCAGAACCAGTGTGGCTGGACTTGCATCTTGGCTTTATCTTTACTAGGTGTATGCTCTTAAGGCAAATTACTTAACTTCTCTTTGTTTCAATTTAGTTGTTTATAAAATGGGGACAGTAGTATTGATCTTCTGAGTTGTTGTGAAAATTGAAAGAGTTATACATAAGGAACTTAGAACCATGTTTGCACATAGTATGCTATTTAAATGTTTATTATTACTGACTGTATAGTCTTAGGTCAGTCTTAATCTGAATTTCAGTTTTGTCACTTGTGAAATAGGGATAATTATACATGTATGTATTTTAAGTATATGTAAAAAATACATCTTGCATAATACCTAATGTTATGTGTGTATATTTGTTACATTTAATGGGAATTAAATTGGAAAATGTTTTTATTATATAGGTTTGCAAATATTTTTATCATCTAATGAAATCTTGGTTTATTTTCTTTCTTTAATTGCATAGAATGGAAAGATGCTGAAGGATGGGAGACTGTTCAGAGAGGAAGGCCTGTTCGTTCTAGATCAACAGCAGTGACACCAAAAATTTCATTAGCAACAGAAGCCTTGAGGTCAAAGGATGACAGCGATAAGGAAAATGTATGTCTTTTACCTGATGACAGTATACAGAAAGGTGAATTTGTTGGAGATGGACCGTCTAATACTATAGGATCTCGTCCCAAAGACTCATTAAACTCCTGTGACCATCCTCTTACTGAAAGAACCCAGGTAATACATTCTGAAAATCCTTTCACTGCCTTTTTCAAAGGGATGTGTGTATGTTGGAATGTCTTATTTTTCTGTTTCATTTTAAACTTTTTACTGTGAAAAATTTGTCACTTTTTTTTCTCTTGCTACATGTCACACACTCATGTTACATGCTAGCCGTTTGAGAGTAATATGCACACATCATAACCATTCATTAAGTACTAGAGCATGTATCAAGAACAGGAAATTCTTTAGCCAACCACCTTATAATTATAAAATTCAGGGAATATGATATTTATATAATATTATCTAATTTGTAGTCTATATTCAAAATTTTCTAGTTTTCCCATTAATTTCTTCATAGAATTTTTTCCCTTGATACAGGATCCAATCCAGAATTGCACAGTACATTTGGTTTTGTTTCTTTAATATCTTTCATTGGAGATAGTTCCTCAGCCTATCTTTGTCTTTCATGATATCAGTAGTTTTGAAGAATACATTGCAGGATTTTTTTTGATACATTGTCCTTTATTCATAATTCAGTTTATCTTATGCATTTTTTTTTTTTTTTTTTTTTTGAGACAGAGTCTCACTCTGTTGCCCTGGCTAGAGTGAGTGCTGTGGCATTAGCCTAGCTCACAGCAACCTCAAGCTCCTGGGCTCAAGTGATCCTACTGCCTCAGCCTTCTGAGTAGCTGGGACTACAGGCATGCGCCACCGTGCCCGGCTCATTTTTTTCTATATATTTTTAGTTGTCCAGATCATTTCTTTCTATTTTTCAGTAGAGACGGGGTCTCGCTCTTGGTCAGGCTGGTCTCAAACTCCTGACCTTGAGCGATCCACCCGCCTCAGCCTCCCAGAGTGCTAGGATTACAGGCGTGAGCCACGGCGCCTGCCCCCGCCCCCCATGTCTTAATGCACAGCAATGTGATTTTTTTTTTTAAGTCAGGGTAATACTAGCTTAGGATAACTTGGGATATGTAACCTCGTTTTCTGTTTTCTGGAAGAGTGTTCATGAAATTGGCATTAATCCTTTTTTTTTTTTGAGATAGGGTCTCATTCTGTTTCCCAGGCTAGAGTGCAGTGGCACTGTAGCTCACTGCAACCTCAAACTTCTGGGTTCAAGTGATCCTCCTGCCTCAGCTCATGAGTAGCTGGGACTACCGTTTTTTCTGTTTCTTAGTAGAGACAGGGTCTCGCTCTTGCTCAGGCTGGTCTCAAACTCCTGAGCTCAAAAAATCCACCTGCCTTGGCCTCCCAGAGAGCTAGGATTACAGGCGTGAGCCACCAAGCCCGGCCTCTTATGCATTTTTGATAAGACTAAAGGGATTGTCTTTAGTCTTAGTGTCTTAGTGTCACTTCTAGAGGCATATGATATCAATTTGCCCAGGTTTGTTGTTAACCTTGATTACTTGGTTTAGGTGGGGCTTCATTTGGATTATCATTATAATAAAAATGGCAATGAAATTTTGAAATGTTCTACTTTTACTTCCTATAAACTGAGTATAAATTTGCTAGTAGTTCATATAATTATTTAAAGTTAATATTCCCCATATTTCTTCTGTTAGTGTAGTTTATTTTACTTATTTGGTCAACTAACATATCCTTTTAGATATTCATTCATATAAAGGTTCATGTTCCGTTGGTATAATTTTGTGTAACATGACTAATGAATTATGGGAGATATTTTTTGATACAGTACAGGTGCTAAATAAATCAATTGTAAAATAATTGCAGTATTTTCTGTCTAGAATAATATCTGCTTTTTAAAATTCTCTTTTTTTACCTGTAGGACTTTTTCCCCTACTTGAAATGCTCCTCAGTTTCCTTGTCTTCCTTCTTAGTTGATGATAATGGCTCTAAATCCTACATTGTTTCTGATGTTCTATAACTCTTTAATATGTATTTTATGCCCATGTGAGATTTGAAGCTCCTTGTGGAAAGTATTTTATGTTGCTTTTTAATTTCCCACAATATGGAACAGATTTCTAGGCACATAGGAAGTAATTACTAATAGTATATATTTGTTGGATGTAACTTTAAGAAACTCTTTAATGTAGGTAAACTACATTAAAGATACTTAGCGAAGAAATAACTTTTTATATCACTTAAACGTCTAGCATTTTTGCTAATGTGTTTTAGCTAAAAAATATAACTTAATATGAAAATTGTGCTGGTTTTGTGTAGTGAATAAATTTATATGATATTGGGATTTCAGCAATAAAACATACATACACCTTTTGAATAATTACATTATTGCTAAAATGTTTCGGTATAAAAGTTCACTGCAGATGGTAGCCAAGCTGATGATATTATAATATTTGTTTTCTCTTCTGTCATTCTAAAAATGGAATTAGCGTATTTATATCTTTTCTCAACATTACTTTATAGTTTAGCTTTGATTTTATTATATAAATGACATTGAGTTTTTAATAAACAGGGTTGACTATATCATACACATCAGTAATGCTAATATAAATATTGCCAAGAAGATTATAAACCATGATGACTGATGTATAAATAATGTTGATAGCAATATAAATAATGTGATACAATTTGAATAATGCTTATGGTAAAATCAACACTTTAGGACACTTTAAGTTTTGACCAATGGTAGAATTTTTAAAGTAGTTTATAAGACTTGGCCAAGTTGAATATTTGTGTAAATAATTAATCAAACTGGGGTTTTATGGCCACTGCAATATTTATTTAAGAAGAGATGTGAGTTTTAAATTCACAATCTTAGATTTTAGTTTTTTGACTTGAAGTATAATTGGAAAACACAGCACCAATCTTTCTCTACTCTGTTAGTGAAAATAAAGGCTTGGTTCTATTTACTAAATTAGATCATTTTTTAAAAAACGAATATGTGTTTAGCCTAAGCCAATGTTTTTTAAATTTTTATATATATATACATATTTTCAGGATATTATGGGGTTGCAAACATTTTGGTTATATGTAATGCATTTGTCCCGCCCAAGCCAGGGCTACAAGTGTGTCCCTCCCCCATACAGTGCAGTCTGCTTCCATTAGTTGTGGCTTTACCCCCCCCCCCCACTGGCACACAGTGAGTATTACTCCCACGTGAACACCTTAGTGTTGATCAGTTAGTACCAGTTTGATGGCAAATACATGTGGTGCATGCTTTTCCATCCTTGTGATACCTCAATTCGAAGGATGGGCTCAATCTCTATCCAGGATAATGTAAGAGGCGCTAGATCACCATTGTTTTTTGTGGTTGAGTAGTACTCCATGGTATACATATACCACATTTTATTAATTCACTCACGTATTCATGGGCAGTTGGGTTGTTTCCACATCTTTGCAATTGTGTATTGTGCTGCTATAAACATTTGAGTGCAGATGTCTTTATATTATAGAATGTCTTTTTTTTACTTTGGATAGCTGCCTAGTAGTGGGATTCCTGGATTAAATGGTATTTCTATTTTTAGTTCTTTGAGGTGTCTCCAAATTACTTTCCATGGAGGTTGTACTAGTTTGCAATCCCACCAGCAGTGTAAGAGTGTTCCTGTTTCTCCACATCCACGCCAGCATTTGTTTGTTTTTTTAGAATGTTTTCACATTCTCTTCGTTACATGTGCCCTGTTTCTAAAAGGGAATAGGGGGAACATCTAAATCTAAAATGTAGCTGTCACATAATGAGACACTGTATGCTGTAGATCTGCACACTTAGATTATGCTTTTCTCTTTTAGATCTGAGAATTGATATCATATACCACATTAATCTTTATTAAAGATACTTTGAGATCATGTTAGTATTATCTGAAGAAAACAACTTTTATATTTTTAAGTAAAATGCCCTCAAAATATGTTTTGGTAAAAATGATTTGAGGATGTTTTTGAAAATGCCGAATATCCTCATTTGATATTAGACAGTCTTTGAAAAGATCATATAAAATACCTTTAGTTATATGACCCTAATACAAAGTATCATATTTGTGACTAGATTTGTTTTGTGAGGACTATAAAATACTCATCAGGAATTGGCCTACTAAAAGAAAATATAACTACAATATATATTGCTTAATTTTTTAGAATACTTCAGACAATTCCCAGTACATAGTAAGTACACAAATAAAATTTGTGCTGGTGTCTTTCCTTTTGTTACACTTGAAACATACAAAAAAGATGAGTGAAGTAGCTGTCATCCAGTTAAATATTGCTTCACAGTTGATAATTTAATCAGAATCAGCTCTTCTAGAGTGGAATAGTTGGTAAGTATTTTTTATCATCTCTGATTGATTCTATGAATATGTTTTGTTAGTTTGCAGCAAGTACGTTGGATGATGTCAAGAATTCTGGCAGTAGTCAAGACAATTCTGTGCGAACTTCTGAAGTACTTGCTCTTCACATTGATACAGAGTGTGTTTCCATTACTCAGCAAGCTGTCACACCTCCTATGCAGATAAATGAAGACACATTTTCAGTAGAGAAAGAAAGGATAGAAAATGAAATGGACCCTTCAGATATTTCAAATGTGAGTGCTGCTAACTTGGTAAGAACAACTTATCAGAATTCTGAGTAAATATATTTAAGAGGCATGAACCCCAATAATAATAACTTATATTATTTATTACTTTTTACTTTACAAAGCATTTTATATATGTTATTTTAACGTTTTATTCTTATGGTAATCTTTTCAAATAGTTAAGATTCTTCTTGTTTTATGGAGGAAGAAAGTGAGACTGCGAGAGTTAAAAACGTGTTCACAATCCTTCAGTTTGTATGTGATTTCATTAAATGCTCTTTAGCCCAGCATTAAGAATCTAAACCAATGCAACATCTCGTATTCTCAAAAATGGGAAATGGTGTCTGCTAGATTTAGTTTTAAAAACTCTGTTAACAGAGTACTCTGGATAGCTACTGTCATTTGCTTGAAGTTTGTCTCTAAGATGAGATTAATTTACCATCCCTATCCAAGAATCTCTAAGAATGCATTACTTTGTGATTATTTATAGGTTTATGTTTTTGGATGACTGCTTATTTCTGCCCGTCTCTTCCTGTTGCTCATTTTAGTATTAAGATACTTGACCTGGGGATAATTAGATCATGCTAACTTTGTTTAAAAAGTAACTTTTGAAAGAAATAGGCACATATTAAAAATTGAAAAAATTAATTAAATTTTATTTTTTAAAAGGCCATTGTATACTATAATTTTTTCTACAACATAATGCCTTATGCTGAAAGATGCTATCAGTAGATGGTATTAGGCAAAATTGTACATCTCATAGAGATAGTAATAATAGATATAGATGAAATTTGATATGGGTTGTTTAAGGGAAAATTCAGGTTATAATAATTAGAAAGACAAATACTTAGATTCCTTTACTAAGGTAGGACAATTTGTTCTTCATTTTGTGTCTTTTAATGATGAAAATTTTTTAAGATTGAACATAATTATGGTGAAATAAATAATGAGTTTAATGTATGGGGGAGAAATTGGTCATATTTATATTTTTTGTTTTCATAGCTACATATATTAAATTGTTTATTTTGCAATTTGAATCCTCCAAAAAAAGAGGAAAATGGTCCCATAGTTAAATAAACATAAGATAATTACTTAAAAATTATTGCCTCATTTTTATTTTGATCACATATATAATAAGCTTGTAGAATCATTAAATCTTTTGGTTATTTTGAAGGTCAAATTTACATAGTCAAAAGAATAAATTCTGCAAATATGAATATTAGTATATTCTTCATGGAATTTTAACTAAACCAGGATTTAAAAAAATTTTTTTTGATTTGTTTTGACAGAGACACTTACAGGTTGCTCTAGATAAGTACCTTATTGTTTAGTTTCTAAGTGGAGAATCATAGAGAATTCCTATAGTGATGAGAGAACTGTTATTTTATTTCTCATTACAGTGTTGTCACATAGCTGGTTAAAGTTCAAAAAAATTATCTGCACTTATTTAACAGACATTTTGGCAAAAAATGTCAGAACTTTTTGAGGTCAACTTTTGCCAACATTAGAAAAATATGTTATAAAACCCAGCTTCCATTGAACTAATATTTTAGACTTACTAACATTTTAAATTTTTAGTGAAAATTTGGAAATGTTCAAAATAATGATGTATGCAGTTATTTATTTGCATTTCACTGTGTGAAATAGCTAAAGTTTTATAAGATTGATTGAATTACTGTTTCATCTGTGAAACTCTACTCTTAGATTAGAATCTTTTCAGGTCTTCAGATAGTAGTAGAAATGTTACATACTGGAGAAGATAAAATTGAGAGAGGAAGTAGAGAAGGTGTATGTGAGAGCTTACTTTCTGTGAATTAAAATATATTAAACTTTAATATTTAGATTTTATTAATAATCATTGTTACAATGTTTTGTGGCACATTGACAACAGTTAATTTCTATAGTGTTTTTGGATTTATAGAGAAGAGCTTATGATACACAGAAATAGTCTCTCCTTTAAACTTATTCACCCCATTCTATTCGTCAGGGACAACTGTGGTGTGTTGTGGGGTACAGGGCATGTTTGCAGAGGGGAAGCTTTACAGAGATGCCGATGCTCAGGCTCTACTCCAGAGCACATATCTAAAGTGGGGCTCAATTATTTGTATTTTTTAATACCATTATTGAAGTTATAGTTGGTTTTCAGTAGATGTTACATATTTAAAGTATACGAATTGATAAATTTTGACCTATGTTTACACCTATGAAACCATCATTCCAATCAAGATAATAAACATATTGATTGCCCCCAAAAGATTTCCTCCTCCCCTTTTTAATCCTTCCTTCCTGCCCTTCCCTGTACCCACTTCTCAAGTAAACACTGTTCTGCTTTATTTCACTGTATATTAGTTTGCATTTTCAGAATTTTATATAAATTGAATTGTGTAATCTTTGCTTGGCTTCTTTGACTCAGCGTACTTATTTTGAGATTCATCCATGTTTAAGTTAATAGTTCATTCTTTTCATTGTCTTTACTGTGGTATTTTGTTGTATGCATGTAACACAATATGTTTATTCATTTAATTGCCTGAAGACATTTGAGTTCCTTCTAGTTTTTTTGTTATGAATAAAAATGCCATGAATATTTGTGTACACATATTTGTGTGAACATGTTTTCATTTCTGGATCTATTTCCTTTAAAAAAATAATTTTATTTAGATATAATTTGCATATAATACAATTCATCCATTTAAAGTTTACTAGTAAGTGCTTTTTAGTTCATAGAGTTGTGCAACCATCAGCATAATCAGTTTTAGAACACTTTCGTTACTCCAAAAGAAACCCAGTGCCCATTAGTAGTCATTCTCTTTCACTCACCCTCACCCTTCCAGCTCTAGACAACCACTAATCTGCTTTCTGTTTGTATAGTTTTGCCTGTTTTGGACATTTCATAGAAATGGAATAAAATATGTGGTCATTTGTGACTGACTTCTTTACTTAACATGTTTTAAAGGTTTATCCATGTTTTAGCTTGTTGTACGTCATTCCTTTTCATGGCCATGTTGTATTCCACCCTATAAATATACCATGTTCTATTTATCCATTCATCAGTTGATGGACATTTAGGTTGTTCCCACTATTTGGCTGTTATGAATAATGCTGTTTTAAATATTTGTGTACAAGTTTTTGTATGGACACATGTTTTTATTTCTCTTGAATATATATCTAGGAGTGGAATTGCTGGGTCATGTAAACTCTATGTTTTACCTTTTGAGGAACTGTCAGACTGTTTTCCAAAGTGGTCACACCATTTTACATTCTCTTTATGTTTATTTTCTTTTGCAATTCTATCAGTTTTTGCTTCATATATTTTGAAGCTTCGTTAGGTCTATAAACATTTAGGATTGCTTTGTCATCTTGATGAATTGACCCTTTTACTTTTATGAAATGACCTACTTTATACCTGGTGATATTTTTTGCTCTGAAATTTGTGTCTCATGTTAACACTTCAACTTTCTTTTGATAAATGTAAATGTTTTACTTGTAATCTGTTTGTATTCTTATATTTACATTAGATTTCTTATGAGAAGCCTATGGTCAGTCTTGTTTTTGATCCAATTTGATAATCTCTGACCATTAATTGGGGTGTTTAGACTCTTTAAATATAATGTGATTATCGATATGGTTTGTTTAAATCTACCATCTTATTATATGTTTTCTCTTTCAACCACATGCTCTTCATTCCCTCTTTTGTTGTTTATAATTTCATTTTATCTCTTTTTTTTTTGGCTCATTAACCATAACTCTTTGTTCTTCCACTGTTTAATTTAGGATTTATAGTATACATATATAGCTTCTCATGGGGGTTTATTAATGATTCTCATGCATATTGTATTACTTCTAATGCACATTAAGTTAGGTATGTATATGTTCAGAAAGTATCATCACCATTACAGCATATATTCTTTCCATATTCCCATTATAGTATACTATTTTTGTTTTATATTTAGTGAGTGTATTTGCTCTGTAATGTCTTAAATTTTGGTACTCAAATGAAATTCATACTTTATCATTAATAATGCCTATTATTTATATAACTTCACAGTTTATCATACATAGCAGTCTGGTAAAGAAGGTAAGTCATGGATTATTGTTCCATTTTATGGACTACCAAATAGGTTCTAGGTTTCAAGAAATTTCTAAATCACACAGCTAGTAAGTGATTGTGCCTTTATTGGACCCAGGTTTTATGATTCTAGATCAATGCTATTTTGAGTATACCATTGAGTTCATGTTTAGAACATAAAGAAATGATTATTTAACTTTCTAGTCCAGTGATGATTTTTCTTATTATTTGTTTTGAACTTTATAGTCCATGGCAGAAGTCCTTGCTAAAAAAGAAGAGCTAGCAGATCGTCTAGAAAAGGCCAATGAAGAAGCCATTGCAAGCGCTATTGCTGAAGAAGAACAGTTAACTAGAGAAATTGAAGCTGAAGAAAACAATGATATTAACATTGAAACTGACAACGACAGTGATTTTTCTGTGAGCCTTTAGAATTTTTGACATAATTGTTTAAAAATTTTATTTAGAAATGAAATTATTAGGGCCAGAAAGACTTAGAATCCCATCTAGTCCTATTTGAAATTATTTATTTAAAAACCATTCTCTATTATTATTCTCAGAGTGATTTAGACTTACATGATAAACAATACCAAATCTTTTTTTTTAACACTTTGCTATTACTAAGTATTTTCATATATGATGCAATCGACAAGTTGGAAGTTGTTATTCTCATTTTACCAGTCAAGAAATTGAGTCTCACAGAAAGTAAGAACTCAGTATTACTCAGATTATAATTTGTAGAGACTGAAGAAGAATCGAAGGTATTTTCCTTTTTGTATTTTACTAACAAAAAGCAAATGATACACTGCCTTCTGTTACTGAGTGCTCAGGATATATACGTTTATGATGGGAATTTGTTAAAGAATAAAAATAACTGTAAATGTTTTACATATTGTTCTATTAAATTTTAATGCCCAACAAATAATCTTGATCTCTTTAATATGTGCTTTGTATGTGTTAATGTTTATGTAGTAATAGTATAAATCCAGTACATTTCTTTTTTTTTTTTTTTAACTAATAAGATACAATTGTATTAAGGTTAATTACACAATCAACTGATGTCATGAAAGCTATCGACATTAAAAAATAGGTTACTTTTTATGTTTAGTCAAAACAGCCATTGCCTTTCATTTAAAATAGGAACACTTATTGTCATTGTTATTGTTGGCTTTAAAAACCTCCTTTTTGGATATAGGAACATTACAAGTGGAAGAAAGAAATGAAATTCAAACACGGTTTTGTTTTTTATGATGTGGGAAAATTTCTCATTACCCTTAGTTTTATTTCCATATCAGTAAAAGGCAGGAGTTCATTCATTTTTCAGATGAATGTTGAGATAAGAAATGAACTTTAAGTACTTACTGTATGTCTATAAACTAAGTACATTTCTTTTTATGTTTACTCTATTTATCTCTACTATTTATGGCTAGTAGGCTATTAAAATGTATAGGCTGTGATATTTTAATTTGGTAATTATTGTGATTATGCAAGGTATGTAGCTTTTTTCTGGTTTTCAACTGTTGATTAAATGAAATTTATTAACAGATATGAAAATTTCATGTATAGTTCATTTTTAAGGTTATAGTTGTGTTCAAAGATTCATTTTTCCATTTCCCTTATTACATTTTAGGCCAGCATGGGCAGTGGGAGTGTATCTTTCTGTGGTATGTCTATGGACTGGAACGATGTCCTTGCGGATTATGAAGGTATTGTGTGTGTGTGTGTGTGTGTGTGTATTTGACATGTAGGTACAATGGGATAAAATACATTATCTTGTTTCATAGAGTTTCTGTGTAAAATAAATAATTTCTAGTGAGAATGCTGTTGCCTTTTAAAAGTTTGTTCTTAAGTGGTTTTATAGATCTATGTGGTTAAACAATAAGTGTTTTTCTTTTATTTGAACAGCTCGTGAATCTTGGCGCCAAAATACATCCTGGGGAGATATTGTAGAAGAGGAACCTGCTAGACCTCCAGGGCATGGAATTCACATGCACGAAAAACTTTCTTCACCATCTCGCAAAAGGTCTGGCCTTAGGAAATTAATTTGAAATGTTTTGCAGGAGGGAAACCAGCCATTCTTGACTACTAAGTAGGATTGTTACAAGATCTGTGTAGGCACATTCCTTCAGGACAGTTTCAGATTCACCGAAAAGTGACAATGCTTTCCTGAAATGAGAGGCCAAGATTGGTTTTGTATATTTTAAGAATTTTGAAATCTAAAGAAAAACATTTTTGGCCTAATCATGTAAACATTTGTGTCTTTTGTTCATTTGTTTATATTAACAGAACAATTGCAGAATCTAAGAAGAAACATGAAGAAAAACAAATGAAAGCACAGCAGCTAAGGGAAAAGTTACGTGAAGAGAAAACATTAAAGCTTCAGAAATTATTAGAAAGGGTAAGTTTTTTTTTTTAAATTATGATAGTCTTAAATTTGTAGACTTATTTTCAAGTAGACTTTTTCGTCTGGTCTGAGAGAAGCCAGAACAGAGATTAAATTTTCTAGGAAATAAGGCATTTCTATCTATTGAATTGCAGAATTAACGGTAAAAAAAGAAGTTTTCCTGCCTAAATTATCTAGTAAATTGATATTTTACAGGGTTGGCATGGATTACTGAAGCTGTACTTTGTTTTTTGCCATTTTTGTTGGAGGGTTTCCTTCAGGAGGCTTGTCTAAAGTGTAGAATGACCTGGTAGGATGCTTTTGAGCTTAAGATTATGAGGTTTGTGGTATGTGTCTGCCTGTGGCCAGCTCTAGTCCTTGGTGTCAATTCTGGTTTTTAATACAGTACATGTGCCTGGGGCCAGCGTGCTCTGTCCCATAGTTGTTGTCAGTACATGTCCACATACTGCCAGCCCAATAGCAATGTGAGCACATGGCTACAGTTTGTGCTGGCCCCCATTGGCACATGCGTGCCTGCAGCCAAACTTCACCTAGCCTGCTACCACATGCCTCAGCTCCATCCTATCCAAGTGTGCTCACTCTTCAACAGGGAACAGCACTGCTGAGGATCCCAGCAGCCTTCACAGCCATTGCAGAAACCAGGCAGCTTCTGTAGGCAAGGACCACACAGTTACTGATTTTCTCAGTCCCAGCTCCCGGAGTTGCCATGCCACTGCACACCTTCAGACCTGAAACTGTCGCACTTCCCTGCACTTCGCACCCTGTGTGCCACTAGGCCTAGTGCAACAATATACTCTTTCTGCATTCCCCCCAAGTTGGTGCCCCCATCCAAGTGGCTGCTTTTCCTTACTGAAGCCAGTCCATAAAGACTGGACAAAGTGACTCCTTCCTCAAATGTATAGATAGCAATGCAAGGATACAAGGAACAAGAAAAATCAGGAAAACACGAAACCACCCAGGTAACGAAATGTATTTACAGTAGGCAACCCAAACAAATGGAGATCCAGGCATTGCTTGAGAAACTATTCGAAACAACCTGTTCAATAGAAGGTCAGTGAGCTATAAGAGAGCACAGATAGATAATTTAGCAAAATCAAGAAAACAGTAAAATAACCAAATGTGACGTTCAAGAAAGAGATAGAAGCCATAGAAAAGAAGAAAACAAATTCTAAAGCTGAAGAATACAATAAAGAAACTGAAAAATATAATAGAAAGCTTCAACAGCAGACAGTTAAGCAGAAGAAAGAATCAGAGAACCCAAAGACAGATTGAAAGGGGCTTAGAGCTTTTTTAAAGAAATAATAACCAAAAACTTCTCAAATCTGGAGAGGGAAATAGATATCCAGACTCAACCTCATAGAACTCCAAATAGGTTGAAGATAAAGAAGTCTACACCAAGGCCGGGCACAGTGGCTCACACCTGTATTCCTAGCACTTCGGGAGGCCAAGGCAGGAGAATTGCTTGAGGTCAGGAGTTCAAGACCAGCCTGAGCAAGAGGAAGACCCTCATCTCTACAAAAAATAGAAAAATTAGCTGTGTATGGTGGCGCGTGCCTGTAGTCCCAGATACTCCTGAGGCTGAGGCAGGAGGATTGCTTGAGCCCATGAGTTTGAGATTGCAGTGAGCAGTGATGACACCATTGCACTTCAGCCTGGGCACCAGAGCAAGACCCTGCCTCAAAAAAAAAAAAATATAGACTGGTTGTTCTCTAAATCTAGTCACAGATGTCATCCTGGGATCAGCAAGGATGGAAAAAAATATTCTAAGCAAGTAGAAACCAAAAGTGAGCAGAAGTAGCTATTCTCATATCAGATAGAATATATTTTAAATCAACAATGTTAAAAAAATACAAAGATGGTCATTATATAATGATAAAGGGAGCAATTCAGCAAGAAGATGTAACAATCCTAAATATATATGCATCTAACAAATAGCTCCCAGATTCATAAAACAAATTCTACTAGTTCCAAACAAAGAAATACCAGCCGGGAACTTCAGTACTCCACTGACAGAACTGGACAGATCGTTGAGACAGAATGCATGAAAAAAGGCTCAGCACCAACCACTAATTATCAGGGAAATGCAAATTAAAACCACAGTGAGATACCACCTTACTCCTGTCAGAGTGGCCTTTATTAAAAAGAGATACCACCTTACTCCTGTCAGAGTGGCCTTTATTAAAAAGTCAAAAAACAATAGATGTTGGTGTGGGTGCAATGGAAAAGGAATGCTTACCAGCTGTTGGTGGGAATGTAAACTAGTAGAACTGCTGTGGAAAACAGTATGGAGATTCCTGAAAGAACTAAAAGTAGACCAACCATTTGATCCAGCAATCCCACTACTGGGTATCTACCCAAAGGAAAAGAAGTCTTTATACCAAAAAGGCACCTGCACCTGAATGTTCATTGCAGCACAATTCACAGTTTGAAAGATATGGAACCAACCTAAGGTGCCCATCAGCTGATGAGTAGATAAGGAAAGTGTGAGATATGTGTATGTATGTGCACACACACCGTGGAGCACTACTCGCCACAGAAAGGAAAGAAATAATGTCTTTTACAGTAACTTGAATGGAACCGAAGACCATTATCCTAAGTGAAGTATGTCAGGAATGGAAAAACAAATACTGTTTTTTCTCACTTATAAGTGGGAGCTAAATGAGGGATGTATATGGTCATAAAGAGATGTGATGGACATTGGAAACTAAGAACGGGGGAGGCTGTGAGGGGGAAGGCATGAAAATCTGCCTATCAAGTACAGTATACACTGGTGATGGGTAAAGCCCATTAAAGCCCTGACTTTAGCATAATACAATGCATTTACGCAACAAAAACACTTGTACTCCCTGTATTTTTTCAAATAAAAAAAAATATAACTACCAAGGCAAAATCTATTGTAGATACACAAAAGGGAAAAGGAAAGAAGTCAGACCAAACCATTACCAATAAAAAAATCAATCAAATAACAAAAGAAGATAGTAGTAGAGAAAGAGAGGAACAAAAATGTAGCAAAACAGAAAATACATAACAAAATGACAATAGTAAGTCCTTTACTCATCAATAATTACTTTAAGTGTAAATGTATTAAACTCTATACCCAATCAAAAGACATAGAGTGGCCAAATTAATAGAAAAAAACTATATGCAGCCATTTTCTGTCTATAAGAGACTCATGTAAGCTAAATGTGAAGGAATGGAAAAAGATATTCCATGGAAATGATAACCAAAAGAAAGCAGAGGTGGCTTTACTCTTATCAGACAAAATAGATTTTAAGTCCAAAACTGTCCCTAGAGAGAAAGAAGGTCATTAAATAATGATAAAAATGTTAATTCAGTAGCAAGATATAACAATCGTAAATATATCTGCATCTAGCATTAGAGCACCTAAATATATAAAGCAAATACTGGCAGATCTGAAGGGAGTAATTGATAGCAATACAATAACTGTAGGAGACTTCAGTATCCCACTTTCAATCATGGAGAGAACTTCTAGGTAGAAAATCAATAAGGAAACAACTGACTTGAACAACCAGCATCCATCCTGAGGATATCCAGGAAACCATGAACAGTAGCCTCATTAGAATAGTAGATGCTCCTATCACCCAGCAAATTATAAGGGATTTAGTAGCTCTTTGTCAGACACTCCTATCACTCAAGAAATTACAAAGATCTTAGAAGCGCTGTGTCAGAAACTGGAGTTAAAGACCAAATACTAAACAAAAGATTCTCAAAGTCCTTCTATCTAAAGAGCTCTTTCAGGAGCCAGGAACAGAGACCAATATATATATATATTTCTTATTATTTCATAAAAGTGAACTGGTTGAGTTGATAACCTTTTCCATCTGGCTGCTAGTTTGTATCCTTTAAAATTTCTTTTGTAATAAATCAGCAATAGTAAGTAAAGTGTTTCCTTGAGTTCTGTTGGCCACTCTAGCAAATTAATCAAATTTGAGGAGGGAGTTGTGGGACCCCCTAGTTTACAGCCAGTTTGCCATAAGTACAGGTCAGAACCTGGGACTTGTGATTGATATCTGAAGTGCAGGGCAGTCTTATGGGACTGAGCCCTTAACCTGTGAGACCAGGTAGATAATGTCAGAATTGAACTGAATTATAGGACAGCCAGCTGATGTCAGAGAAATGGTCAGTGTGGGAAAAACCCCATAGGCATGTGGAAAGAGGCTCAGCATTTGTAATCATCAGGAAAATGCAAATCAAAAGTGCAGTGAGATAGTACCTCATGTCTGTTAGGATAGCTATTATCAAAATGACAAAAGGCAAGTGTTGGGGAGGATGTGAAGAAAAAGGAATCCTTGTATGTTTCTGGTGGGAATTTAAATTAGTACAGCTGTTATGGTAAGAAATATGAAGTTTCCTCAAGAAATTTAAATAGAATCTACATATGATCCAGCAACCCAAAGGAATTAAAATCAGGATCATGTAGAGATATCTGCACTCCTACTGTAGCATTATTCATAATAATCAAGATATGGAAACAATGTAACACATTGACTGCCACACTAGGAAAAAAAAGTTTTCCTTGGGGCCATGGTGTTTTATGATGAAAATAGAATAAAAACTTTGAAAACAAAATTATGGTTTCTGATTTAATGAAAAAATGTTATTTTTTATTGTTTTCTGTGTGTGAGTTATATGCAACTTGAAAAATAGTTCACAAGACTCCCAGGGTAAAGAGACGTGTGAGTTACATATGCTTCACAAGGCTCCGGGCTCAAAACTAGTGTGAGTTAAATAAAACTCACATGGCAGTTCATGTGTTAAGAATCTGCTCATGGACAGATGGATAAAGAAAATGTGGTATAAATGTGAATGTGTGTGTATATATACATATATATAATGGGATATTATCCAGCCTTAAAAAGAGTGAAATCCTGCCATGTGTGACAACATGGGTAGAGCTAAAGAATATTAAGCTAAGAGAAATAATCAAGACACACAGAGAGAAATACTAACTACATGGTCCCACTTATATGTGGAATCCAAAATAGTCAGATTCCCAGAAGCAGAGAGTAGAACAATGGTTGCCAGGGATAGAGGAGGAGGTGGAGTGATATTGGTCACAGGGTAAAAAGTTTGAGTTATGCTTGGTGAATAATTTCTATTGATTGAATGTACAGCATCATGACTATAGTTGACAAAAAGCAAAAAAAACCCAAAGCACCATAGGTAAAGTTGGATATATTCTTTAAATTTGAAGGTCTTTTTCACTAGAAAATCTATTAATGTAATGGGATATAAACTGATTAAAAGAGAAAAAAAACATTATTTTTAACACAATTTTAGTATTTTTAACAATGAAAAAAGATTATCAGGTTTGAATAAGTGGGGCTCTAATTATCTTTACAGAGAGAGTCTTTGTGTATTTAGAGCAGTGTAACTGTTGAGCAGTGTGGTAGTTCAAATCCTGATTTTATTGTATAACAAGCTGTGATATGCTGGGTAAGTTATGTAACATTATTGCATTTCAGTTTCTTTATCTGAAAAATGGCAATTATAATTATTAACCTATTATGCATAAATAAGGCAAGTATATAAAACAGTAGCATAGTGCTAGGATGGATGTTGCTCAATACATGGTCATTGTTGTTACTTTCACACGGCAGACGTAGGAGAGTACTATGTTAGTTATCTATGCTGTATTACAGATGACTTCAGAACTTAAGCTTAAGAGAGCCAACATTAGCTCACAGTTTCTGTAGGAAAGGAAATGAGGAGTGGCTTCCCTAGTGATTCTAGGTCTCTAATCAAGTTTTAGTCAAGCTATCAGTCAGGGTAACAGTCATCTGGGGCTGGAGGATCCACTTCCAAAATCACTTGTGCAGTTATTTGCAGGCCTCAGTTCCTCTTTGGCTGTTGGCTGGAAACCTCAGTTCCTTGCCATGTGTGCCCTTCTACAACTCAAGTGTCTTCATGATATGGCCAGTGGTTTCCCCATAGAAAATAATCAGAGAGGGGGGGGGGCGAGAGAGAGAAAGAGTGAATAAGAGAGTTGATAAAATGGAAGCTGCACTGTCTTTTATATCATCTCTTTTGATCGCAATCCTGACACAAGGGAGGAGATTACACAAGGACCTGAATACCAGGTGGCTTAGATCACTGGGCACCATCTCTGGGGCTGCATACTATAAGCATCTAACACAGCATGACAAAAGATGTGAACTTTTTTGTTAGCTTCTGTTACTAGAAAGGAATATTAATATGCATAGGTTAAGCATGTTATTTGCATTACTTTGAATGTGTGGTTTAATTTGGGAGAGATAGTTGGACCAAGTAATCTGAATATTTATAAAAATGAGTTAGGTAGCACAAAATTCGCTTTAGTAAAATAGTAGAATTCACTGAAACTGGAAGAAATTCTGTGATTTTTCGTTTTACCTGAATCTCAAGAATTTGTTATTTAGAATGAATAGATTAGATATGAAGAGCAATCTCTATGTTTTGGGGTTCTATAAGAGTTAGTGTGTTTGATTTTTAGCTTAAGAGACATGCTCTAACACAACCACATTTCTTTTCTTATGGTGTTTTTTAATACAAATAAAATTACATAATATATTTTCTTATATAATATGATCTCCAAGTATTTATGCAAATAAATCATAGATTTTGAAAGTACTCAAGACTTTAGATGTTCTCTCATTATATTTCTCATCAATGTAGGTATCCCTTCAATTAATTTTAATGGTAAAATTCCACCTTCCATTGTTCATTAGGTAATTATTTGCATATACGATCTCATCTGATCACTACAGTAACTCTGTGAGGTACACAGGGCAGGTATTGATTCCCATTTTATAGATGTGAAGACAATCTAGGCGAGGCAGAGTGTTGTTTTCAGTGACACACAACCAATAATTTGCAGATCTTAGGCTTTAAGGACCTGTCCTCTGGCTGCTAATACAGTGCTGTTTCTGCATTATACTTTTTTACTATGGTTCAGCACATAATTTTTTAGATAAAATTCAACTTAAATAATAGGTTTTTTCAACTCATATTGATCCAACTTCTGATTTTCTATAATTTATTTTCATTGGTACTGAGTCTTATTTCCTGGAGCATGGAACAAGTCTTTTTCTGTTTGCTATTGTTTTAATGATTTAAAGGCAGCTATTATTTCTATCTATATTCTGTAGGCGGTGCCCTGTCTGTAACTTCAGATAATGTTTCTTATGCAAATAATGTGATTTTTTTCATTTTCCAGTTTTTAGGGTTAAATTTCTTGTTTTTCTTGAATGTGGGTAATTATATAGAGGCATTAAGGTTTATAAGGTTAAGAAATATACACTATGTTCATTTTAAGTATACTAATGGTGCAGTGCAGTGATGATAAATATTTCTATAGAGCCATGTCTAATCTATTCTAAGAGTTTTACATGCGTTAACTCAATCTTCAAAATAATTCTATGAGTTAGGTACTATTCCTATTACTTACTATTTATAGATAGGGAAACGCAGACATAAGCTTCAAATGTTAAGTGGCCAATGTAGAAAATGAATTCAGGTAGGCTGACTTTAGAGTTCATGTCCTTAATCATTAGTCATGCTCCTGTAGGTCTTTCCAGGCTTAGACTTTATGTTTCATAAACCATTTACCTATTTGTACTTCTGTTAAATGATTGTGTTTGTTGAAATTAATGATGTGATAATTCACTGTGCATAGGAGAAAGATGTCCGGAAGTGGAAGGAAGAATTACTAGATCAACGACGTAGGATGATGGAAGAGAAATTACTTCATGCTGAATTTAAACGAGAGGTGCAATTACAAGCAATTGTGAAAAAAGCACAAGAGGAAGAAGCTAAGGTATATTATAGGTGCTTTAAACATTGAATTAATTGCCTATGTACTTTTTTTAATTGTTACATAATAGTAATAGAGGGTAATGTTTATCAAGTTCCAAAATAACAGCATTTCACAGGCTCATTTAAAACTTCCTAGGTGCAATGTTTTACTTTATTTCTATAATAATCCTGAGCCATATATTAGTTCTTTTACAACTCTATTGAAGTATAATTGGCAGAGAATAAGCACATGTGTAAACTATTCAATTTGATGAGTTTTGACATGTGTATATATATTCCTGAAACAATTAGTACAATGAACATAATAAACAATTCCTCTTTGTAACTCATTTCTTCTTCCAGGCCTGTTACCATGTGATTGCTGATCTGCTGTCTATCACTATAGATGTTTGCATTTTCTAGAACTTTATATGCATGGAATCATACAGTGTATACTCTTTCCTCTGGCTTCTTTCACTCTGCATAATTATTTTGTATTTCATTTATCCTGTTGTGTGTATCAGTAATTCCTCCCTTTTCATTGCTGAGAGGTATGTCATTGTATGGAAATACCGTATTTTGTTAATTCAGTCACCTGTTGATGGACATTTGTTTTCTTTCCAGTTTTTGTCTATTACAAATATAGTTGCTGTGGCAATTTGTGTATTTAATACAAGTTCTTTGTGCTGTCCTTTTTCTTTTGTAAATACCTAGGCGTGGCTTGGCAGAGTCTTATGATAGTTCATGTTTAACTTGTAGAAAAACAGTTTTTCAAACTGGTTAAACTATTTTACATCCCCACCAGGAATAAATAAGAGTTCTAGTTATGTCATATTCTGACCAACACTTGACACAGTTGCACATTTAAATTTTAGTCGTTTCATTTTAGTATATGTATAGTGTCTCATGATTTTTTCCCAATTTTTTTATTGTGGGAAAAATGCACATAACATAAAATTTACCATCTGAACAATTAGTAAGTATACAGTTCAGTGGTATTCAATGCATTCATAATGTTGTGCAACCATCACCACCATCCACACCCATAACTCTTTTCATTTTATAAAACTGAAAATCTATACCCATTAAATAATAACTCCTCATTTCTGCTTTCCACCCAGCCCTTGGCAACTATCATTCTACTTTGTAGTTCTATGATTTTGACTACTCTAAGTACCTCATGTAAGTGGAATCATATGGTATTTGTCTTTTTGTGGCTGGCTTACTTCACTTAGCATAATGTCTTCAAGGACCTCAATGTTGTAGCATATGTCAGAATTTCCTTCCTTTTGCAGGCGGACTAATACTCCGTTGTGTCTATGTACCACATCTTGCTTATCCATTCGTCCATTGCTGGACACTTGAGTTGCTACCATATTTTAGTTGTTGTGAACAATGCTGCAATAAACATGGGTTCACAAATATCCTCTTGAATCCCTGCTTTTAATTCTTTTGGATATATACTCAGAAGTGGAATGGCTACATTAAATGGTAATTCTATTTCTAATTTTTTGAGGAACCATTATTCTGTTTTCCTCAGCAGCTGCGTGATTTTTCATTCCCGCCAACAATGCACAAGGTTTTCAATGACTCCATATCCAACTCTCGTTATTTTCTGAGTTTCTTTGATGGTAGCCATCTTAATGTGAGTGAGGCATCTCATTGTAGTTTTGATTTGCATTTCTCTAGCAATTTGTAACGAGCATCTTTTCATGTGCTTATTGGTCATTCGTGTATCTTCTTTGGAGAAATGTCTAGTCCTTTGCCCATTTTTGAATTGGTCTTTTTGGTTTTTATTGTTGAGTTTTAGGAGTTTTCTGTATATTCTATATATCAATGTCTTATCAAATATATGATTTACAAATATTTTCTCCCATTTTGTGGATTGCCTTCTTACTTTGTTGATAGTATCTTTGGATGCGCAAAATGTTCTAATTTTCATGAAGTCTAGTTAGTCTAGTTTTTCTTTTGTTGCCAGTACCTTTGTTGTCATATCCAAGAAATCATTGCAAAATCCAGTGTTATGACACTTTCATCCTATGTTTTATTCTAAGAGTTTTATAGCTTTAGCTCTTACATGTAGGTCTTTGATCCATTTTGAGTCAGTGGTATTGTGTGTGTGTGTGTGTGTGTATATGTGTATTTGGCACACAAAAACAAAGAAACTGCATTAACTATGATTATCACAAGCTTTTCCTCTATTAGTAAAATGGGATTTTACCATCTTTATTCCATTCCATGCATTTTCTAATTTAATTAATTCTGTGATGGTGTTACTCTTTTTTTTTTTTTAGATAGGGTCTCGCTGTGTTACCCAGGCTGGAGTGCAGTGGCACCATCATAGTTCACTGCAACCTCAAATTCCTGGGCTCAAGTGATCTTTCTGCCCCAGCCTCTCAAGTATCTGGGACTATAGGCTCACACCACTGGACTTGGCTAAGTTCTCTATTTTTAGTAGAGATGGGTCTTGCCTTGCTCAGACTGGTCTCGAACTCCTGAGCTCAAGTGATCCTCCTACCTCAGCCTCCCAGATTGCTAGGATTACAGCCGTGAGCCACCACGCCAGGCTGATAGTGTTACTTTTGTCCTGGTTGTTTCCTTAGGTCTCTAATAATCACCCTTGATTTTATCATTACAATAGCTCTCCTTTATTCACAATTTCACTTTTTGTGGTTTCAGTTACCCACGGTCAACCACAGTCCAAAAATATTATTAATAAATGGAAAAATCCAGAAATAAACAATTCATAAATTTTAAATTGCACAGTGTTCTGAGTAGCATGATGAAATCTCATGCAGTCCCATCCAGGATGTGAATCATTCATTCCTTTGTCCAGCATATCCAAGCTGTATGCACTACCTACCTGTTAGTTGGTTAAGTAACTGTTTTGGTTATCAGATTGACATTTGTATCACAGTGCTCATGTTCAAGTAACCCTTATTTTACTTAATAATGGCCTCAAAGCAGAAGAGGAGTGATGCTAGCAATTTGGAAATGCCAACAAGAAGCCACAAAGTGCCTCCTTTAAGGGGAAAGGTGAAAGTTCTTGACTTAATAAGGAAAGAAAAGAAATTTTATGTTCAGTTTGCTAAGATCTACAGTAAGAACGAGTCTTCTATCTGTGAAATTGTGAAGAAGGAAAAAGAAATTTGTGCAACATATGTATAGTCGTCCACCAGTATCTGTGCAGGATTGGTTCTAGGACCCCCTGCAGATAACCAAGATCCACGGATGCTCAAGTCCCTTACATAAAATGGTGTGTTATCTGCATATAACCCATGCACATCCTCCTGTATGCTTTAAGTCATCTCTAGGTTACTTATAGTACCTAATACAATGTAAATGCTATGCAATAGTTATCGTACTGTATTGTTTAGGGAATTATTACAAGAAAAAAGGTCTGTACAGGTACACCTCGTTTTATTGCGCTTCACTTTATTTTGCCTCACAGGTACTGTGTTTTTTACAAATGGAGGGTTTGTGGCAACCCTGTGTTGAGCAAGTTTATTGGCACCATTTTTCCAACTCTATGTGCTCACCTTGTGTCTCTGTGTTACATTTTGGTTATTATCATAACATTTCAAATGTTTAAATCGTATCTATTATGGTGATCTGTGATCAGTGATCTTTAATGTTGTGATTAATATTATAATTGTTTTGAGGCACCACAAACCACGCTCATATAAGACAATGGACTTAATAAATGTTCTGTGTGTTCTGACTGCTCCACTGACCCAGCCATTACCCTGTCTCCTTCTCCCCAGGCCTCCTTATTCCCTGAGACACAACAATGTTGAAATTAGGCCAGTTAATAATGCTACAGAGGCCTCTAAATGTTGAAGTGAAAGAATCACACACATCTCTCACTTTAAATCAAAAGCTAGAAATGGTAAGCTTAGTGAGGAAGGCATGCTGAAAGCCAAGATAGCCTGAAAGCCAAGTTGTAAAGGCAAAGGAAAAGTTCTTGAAGAAGATTAAAAGTGCTACTCCAGTGAACACACAAATGATAAGAAAGCCGAACAGCTTTATTGATGATATGGACAAAGTTTTGGTGGTCTAGACAGAAGATCACACCACCTATAACATTCCCTTAAGCCAAAGCCTAATTTGGAGCAAGACTCTAACTCTCTTCAATTCTGTGAAGGCTGAGAGAGGTAAAGAAGCTGCAGAAGAAAAGTTGGAAGCTAGCAGAGTTTGGTTCATGAGGTTTAACAAAAGAAGCTGTGTCTCTCTATAACACAAATGTGCAAGGTGAGGCCAGTGCTGTTTTAGAAGCTGCGGCAAGTTATCTAGAAGATCTAGCTAATATACTTGATGAAGGTGGCTATACTAAACAACAGATTTTAAATTTAGATGAAACAGCCTTCTATTGGGAGAAGATGCCATCTAGGAATTTTCTAGCTAGATAGGAGAAGTCAAAGCCTGGCTTGAAAGCTTCAAAGGACAGGCTCACTCTCTTGTTAGGCGATAATACAACTAGTGACTCTAGGTTGAAGCCAATGCTCATTTATCATTCTGAAAGTCCTAGAATCCTTATAAGAATAATGCTAAATCTATGCTGTGCTCTATAAATGGATCAACAAAGCCTGGATGACAGCATATCTGTTTACAACATGGTTTACTGAATGTTTTGAGCCTGCTGTTGAGACCTACTGCTCAATAAAAAGCACTGCTTTCAAAATGTTTGACAACTGGCAATGCACCTGGTCACCCAAGAGGTCTAATGGAGATATATAAGGAGATTAATGTTCTTTTCATGCCTGCTAACACAACATTAATTCTGTAGCCCATGGATCAAGGAGTAATTTTGACTTTCAAGTCTTACTTATTTTATAAATACATTTCATAGATAGTGTTTCTTCTGATGGGTCTGGACAAAGTAAGTTGAAAACCTTCTGGGAAGGATTCACCATTCTAGATGCCATTAAGGACATTTGTAATTCATGGGAGGAGGTCAAAATATCAGTGTTAACAGAAGTTTGGAAGAAGTTGGTTTCAGCCCTTGCTAATGAATTTAAGGGGTTCAAGTGTTCAGTTGAAGATGTAACTGCAAATGTAGTGGAAATAGCAAGAGAATTACAGTTAGAAGTGGAGCCTGAAGATGTGACTGAATTGCTATAATCTCATGACAAAACTTCAGTGGATGAGAAGTTACTTCTTACAGATGAGCAAAGAACGTGGTTTATTTTTTTTTAATTTTTAATTTTTTAATTTCACAGTATTACGGGAGTACAAACGCTTTGGTTACATAAATTGTCTTTGCACCACCTGAGTCAGAGCTACAAGTGTCACCATCCCCCAGACAGCATGCACTGTATCCATTAAATGTGGATTTACCCATCCCCTCCTCCCCTCCAACACCTGCCCAACACCCTATGAATGCTACTTCCCATGTGTGCACATTAGTCTTGATCAATTAGTACCAATTTAATAGTAAGTACATGTGATATTTGTTTTTCCATTCTTGTGATACTTCACTTAGAAGAATGGGCTCCAGCTCCATCCAGGATAATACGAAAAGGTAGTTGACCATTTTCTTTTAAGGACCGAGTAGTACTCTGTGGTTTATATACCGTATTTTACTAATATACCATATTTTATTAATCCACTCATGTATTGATGGGCACTTGGTTTGTTTCCACATCTTTGCAATTGTGAATTGTGCTGCTATAAACATTTGAGTACAGATGTCTTTTTGATAGTCCTTTTTTTTCCTTTGAATAGATACCCAGTAGTGGGATTGCTGGATCAAATGGTAGGCCTACTTTTAGTTCTTTGAGGTATCTCCATACTACTTTCCATAAAGGTCGTACTAGTTTGCAGTACCACCAACAGTGTATGAGTGTTCCTATCTCTCCGTATCCACACCACCATTTATTGTTTTGGGACTTTTTGTTAAAAGCCTTTCTCACTGGAGTAAGTGATATCTCACTGTGGTTTTGATTTGCATTTCCCTGATAATTGGGGATGTTGAGAATTTTTTCATGTTTCTTGGCCATTAGTCTATCTTCTTTTGATGTCAAATGGTCACTCTTTTCTGATGATATGATCTTACATCTAGAAAACCCCAAAGATTCTGCCAGCAGACTACTGGAATTGATAAATAAGTTCAGCAAAGTCTCAGGTTATAAAATCAATATACACAAATCAGTAGCATTCATACACACCAACAACAGTCAAACTGAGAACCAAATCAAAGAGTCAATACCTTTCACAACAGCAACAAGGAAAATAAAATACCTAGGAATATATTTAATTAAGGAGGTGAAAGACCTCTACAGGGAGAACTATGAAACCCCGAGGAAGGAAATAGCACAGGATGTAAACAAGTGGAAAATCATACCATGCTCATGGTTCAGCAGAATCAACATTGTTAAAGTGTCTATACTACCGAAGTGATCTACAGATTCAATGCAATCCTTATTAAAATACCAACATCATTTTTCTCACATCTAGAAAAAATTATGCTTCATATGGAACCAGAGAAGACTCTGTATAGCTAAAACAACCTTAAGCAAAAAGAACAAATTGGGAGGTATCACATTACCAGACTTCAAGCTATACTGCAAGGCTATAGTAACCAGAACAGCATGGTACTGGCACAAGAACAGAGTCATAGACCAATGGAACAGGACTGAGAACTCAGATACAAAACCATCCTCATATAGCCATCTGATCTTTGACAAAGCAGACAAAAATATACACTGGGGAAAAGAATCCCTATTCAATAAATGGTGCTGGGAAAACTGGATAGCCATATGTAGAAGACTGAAACTAGATCCCCACCTCTCACCTCTCACAAAAATCAACTCACGATGAATAACAGACTTAAACCTAAGGCATGAAACCATAAGAATTCTTGAAGAAAATGTTGGAAAAACTCTTACAGACATTGGCTTAGGCAAAGAATTTATGAAGAAAACCCCAAAGGCAATCACGGCAACAACAAAAATAAATAATTGGGACCTGATCAAATTAAAAAGCTTCTCGACAACCAAAGAAACTATCACGACAGCAAACAGACAACTTACAGAATGGGAGAAAATATTTGCATCCTACATATCCGATAAAGGACTGATAACTAGAATCTATATAGAACTCAGGAAAATCAGCAAGAAAAAATCAAACAATTCCCAAAAAAGTGGGCAAAGGACATGAACACAAACTTTTCAAAGAAAGTGGTTTCTTGAGAGAGAATCTGTTGTTGGTAAAGATGTTAACATTTTTGAAATGACAATAAAGGTTTAGAACATTGCATAAATTTAGTTGATAAAACAGCAGTATGATTTGAGATGATCAACTCCAATTTTGAAAGAAGTTCTACTGTGGTTAAAATACTATCAAACAGCGTTGCGTGCTACATGCTTCCTTTCACGAAAGAGTCAGTTGATGGAGCAAACTTCGTTGTTGTCTTATTTTAGGAAATTACCACAGCCACCCTAAGCTTCAGCAACCATCACCTTGATCAGTCAGCAGGCATCAACATCAAGGCAAGATCCTCCATCAGCAAAATCATTATGACTCACTGAAGGCTCAGATTTTTGTTAGCATTTTTTATCAGTAAAGTATTTTCTATTAAGGTGTGCACATTTTTTAGACATAACACTGTTTCATACTTAATAGACTACAGTATAATTAATGTAAACATAACTTTTATATGCATTGGAAAACCTAAAACTTTGTGTGACTCACTTTATTGCAATATTTGCTTTATTACCCTGGTGTGGAACTGAACTCATAATATATTTGACCTGTACATGTTAAGTACACACATAATCACCCATTTTTTAAAAATTATTTTTGATCCATGGCTGCTTGAATCCATGGGTGAAGAACCCATCGATATGTAGGATTGACTGTTTAGGTTTCAGTACTATGATTTCAGGCATCCATTACGGGTCTTAGAATATATCCCCTGTGGATAAGGGGATACTGAATGTTGTCTTACCATCTTTCCTTTGCTCCTTTACATTCATGTTGTTGTTAAATTCTTCAGTGTCATTAAGTTTGCCTAGGGAATTTTCTGCTGTTTCATGGGTTATGTTTTCTTCCAGATTGGCTTCTTTTTTGTTTGTTTTTTGGCCAAACATTTGCTTTAATCTCTTTTACAATTTATCCCACAGATTGGCTTTTTAAAAAATCTTACTTTTAAATACTCTATTCCCTCTGAATTTTATTTTATTTAGTTTTCTTAATGCATTAGGTCCCATTGTTTCTCTTTCATTTTGATTATGCTTAACATATGAGTCCTGATACATAATCTGAATAAATTTTCCTTAAAAATACTTGTTTTTCTTGTACTTTCATTGCTTTCAGTACAGTTTGAAAGACAGTTATCTGATTAATCTACTTATAAAAGTGGCCCCATGGTGTAGAGATTGAGAGCATTTAGTTAGAATTATATTCAGACTTTCTCGTGTGAGATTTATAAAAGATCTTGAGATGGGTTTTATTCCATCCATCATAGATTCCTGGAGTCTCTCCTTCTGTCCGAGGGAGTCAGCTCTAGTGTCAACTTCCCTGTTTCACTCTTGCATTTTCACTGTAGCATACACGCCTTCTGGCTTTCATGAATGAGAGATTTGAGCCAAACTGATTTTTTGAGCTTCATCATTACCTATACTTTACTCATAAAATCTGTACTCTCTAGCTAAACTTGGCCATTAAGAATCAATACATGTGAAGTGGAGAATGCAGTGTAGAGGTCAGTACCTTGTTCCTAATTGTCACTCATTCGGTATGTTAAAGAAAAATGAATTGTTGTTTACTTTCAGTTTTGTCCTCTCAAACTCATTAGAATAGCATGAACATACCTTTTTAAATACTTGTGTAATTTGTATAGTTGTAAATTACAATGGTATTAAATAGAACTTTATAAGATGATCTCTATAAGAATCTCAAAGTGTTTCTTAACTTAAAAATACGTTTAATGTCAGACCTCTAAATCGCTTCTTACTACGGCCTCTGGATTTGTTATGTGTTCTGGATTATTATCCAATTTGCGGTAAATATTGAAAGAAAAGACCCATAAGTCATTCATATTTTTTTTGTTCTGTGCCATACCGCTGATTTATGTTATTATATAATGACTATTGGTAAATTTCTTATTTTTGTGACGTGCCCTAGAATTAACTTGATTTGAACCTGAGTTTCTTTGTTTTTTATTAAAGGTAAATGAAATTGCCTTTATTAATACCCTTGAAGCCCAGAATAAACGCCATGACGTTTTATCAAAATTGAAGGAATATGAGCAGAGGCTTAATGAATTACAGGAAGAGCGTCAGAGACGACAGGAAGAAAAGCAAGCACGTGATGAAGCTGTGCAGGTAGGATTTTATTCAGTAAGCATTTATTGAGCACTTGTCATATTTTAGGCTCTGAGCTAGATGCTGAGTACTCAAAAGGGAGTAAAACCTAGTCTTTGTTCCCACAGGTGCATGGTTTAATGTAGCAGTCTTTGGAAACATCAGGTGTGATTGCCAAAAGATAGTGTGTACTGCTTTAGATAAGGTAATCAGTTCTTTTGTCAGAAGAGTGCAGTCATAGAAATAGAATCTCTAGCCTTACCCAGGTGAATGATTAAACTGCTCTGGACAGATTATTATTTATTCTTTTCTAATTGAATTGGGCAAGAATATATGCTCCTCTCCCTGCAATAAAAAAGTGTGTTTTTTGATTCAGTATGTATAGCCTTAAAGAACTGGGCAATCTTTATGCTTATGATAAGGAGCACCTGTAATTTATTGGGCAGTATCATCAGATACCTTACGTATTTAAATTTTTAACCTCTGCGGCAAACCGTAAGTTAGCTAGCGTTTTCAGGATGGAGAGAAAGTTAAGTCATAAACTGTACTGCTGTTTTAATCCATTTTAGATTTCCCTTAGTAAAATGCCTTAACCATAGACTCTTAAGACCTGACCTTTTTGATGTAGAGAATAAATTTTGCAGTATTCAAATATAAGTGCATACATACTATGTTTATTATGACTAATATTTATTTGTTCTTTCATGGAGTGATCATTTTATTGAGTTACTACAAATTGTATGCTGTGCAAGGCTCAAGGCTATGAAAAATATTTGTCATTTTTCTCAATGGGGAGACATATTTAGTACATGAACAAATCTTATCCCATTAGGATAAGTGCTACGGTAAAGGCACTTTTCAGTAGCACAAAAGAGAACACTTTACTTACATAGAGAGTGGAAAGGACATGAGTAAGTCAGGAAACATTTCCTGGAGGAGATGATACTTTGAGTTTAAAAAATGAAAGAGATGCAAATGTTAATGTGGGAAGGCATTTCATGCAGAAGGAGTTCTGCATGTAGAGTTAGGGAGCAGATCATGAAAAGCTTTGTTGTGTTAAAAATTAGGGGTGTTATTAATATTTCATGATTCTTTATGTCACTAGTATTAGTAAATTAAAATATCAATACACTGTTAAGTTTATCGATTACTTTTTGCTATTTGTGGGCATTAGAAAGCATTCCAGTATTTATCCCTGATCGCCATTTGATTTGAGTCCAATGTATTATTTTAATGAGTGCTAAGCTAATTTATATTTAAAAATACAGAATGCTCCTATTAGAGAAACTATAGCTTTCCCTCTCCAAGGAGCAGCAAGATTTTTATTTTTATCATTTATAAGTTAATTCTTTGTTAACTTACACCCTTTAAATGAGTAAATGATATGATATTTGAATTTTTAATTTGAATCTTCAGCATTATTTCTGTTTGTTTCTCTACATGAGGGCCATTTTATAAAAATAATTATAGTTTTAAGTTATGTGTTACTTTTCAGCAATCATTAGGCATTAATAATTTGGAGATAAATAAGACACGATCCTTGCCTTTACAGTAAATAAAAATTAAAGTTTAATATGAAAGAGTGTAATTAAAGTATGTACAAATTGCAGCAGTACCACAGAGGAGGGAATAATTAGCTCTCGGTTGGAGGAGAATGTCAGGGAAAATTCTCTGGAAAAGGTGACTTCTTAGCTGGGACTTGGGGAGAAATATATAAGTAGTATTGTATATTTTTAAGTGGATATCTTTGATTCCTTCTTTGCGATTAGCAGATTTGAGTATTTCAAATATAGTAGTTATCTTCAGTTTAAAAATGATGACGCTCTGCAGTTTGGAACATTCATTAAAATTTAAAGAAAAGCTGAAAGTAGTAAGGAATTTCTTATACTAATCCAGACTTTAAAAATTGTTTTGGCCCTTCAGAATTATTTTCCTTTTGAAAAATACAGAAATATCCTATGGATTTAATTTTCAATGCAAAATTTTGAACATATCTACTTATAGTTCAGTTGAGATATATTGCCATTGTTAGAAAAATCCACTGGTAGTATATCACTGATATATATAATTAAAAATTTTTAAATATGTGTGGTCATTATTAGATATATAAGTCATGGAAACCAAGCATTCTGTAAGTACAAGAGCAATAGTAAGATCCTAACCTAATACAGAATTTCAAAGACCTTCCATCTACTTTAGTTTTATACTTGAGACATTCCTGTAAACTGTTTTTTGGGTTTTTTTGTTTTTTGGTTGTTTTTTTGAGACAGAGTCTCACTCTGTCACCCAGACTAGAGTGCAGTGGCGTCATTGTAGCTCACTACAACCTCAAACTCCTGGGCTCAAGTGATCCTCCTGCCTCAGACCCGAGTAGCTGGGACTATAGGCACGCCACAATGCCTGGCTAATTTTTCTATTTTTTTTTTTTTTTTTTTTTTTTAAGTAGAGACAGGGTCTCACTCTTGCTCAGGCTGATCTCGAACTCCTGAGCTCAAGCGATGCTCCTGCCTCGGCCTCCCAGTGTTCTAGGATTATAGGTGTGAGCCACTGGACTGGCCCATTCCTATAAACTGTTAAAGGGGGTTATGGTCCTTGTTTCTTTCAGGTAAAATACTGAGTATTGCTGTCATATATCTCAGTTTGCCATTATTGTTGTGTATAATCTTGATTGGTTAATTTTAAGCTCAATTTTTTAAAGATAATTCTTTTTGTTCTTCTGCCCCAATCGTTTGAATTGTATGTATAAAGAGAAGGTTGCAGAATCCTTTCTTAGGCTGCCATAAATACATCCATGGTTTTGGGAAACAGAGGTTCTTCTGAAGGTTTAAGATTTAGTTATAATTGCAAGGATGTGGAAACAACCCAAGTGCCCGTCAATTCATGATTGGATTATTAAAGTTTGGTATATGTATACAATGGAATACTACTCAATAATAAGAAACAACAGTGATCTGACACCTCTTATATTTTCCTGGATAGAGCTTGAGCCCATTACCCGAAGTGAGGTATCACAAGATCAAAAGAATAGGCTCCACATGTACTTTCCATCAAATTGGCACTGACTGATCAACACTATGGTGCTCACACGGTAGTAATATTCTGCAGGGATTAGGGGGTTGGAGGGGGTAAACTGACAACTAAAGGACGTGGGGAGCATTGTAGAGGGGAAGGGCACACCTCTAACCCTCGCTTGGGTGAGGCAAAGACATAAAATGTAACCAAAATGTTTGCACCCTCATAATATCCTGAAATAAAAAAAAAATAAATAAATAAATTAAAAAAAAGAAAACTAAAAACCAAAAAGATTTAGTTATAGTTGTAATTACTTTGATGTATATCTCTATTCTTTATTTATAGGCATATAGATTTAAAATACATGCTATTTTACAAAATCGTACTTCACTTATTAAACAGATATTTAGGAATCTCTGTCCTCTGCAAGGTGATTTGTGGGGTGCAAAGTTTCATTTTTTGTCTATAGGGAATTTGAAGTTTAGATCAGGAAATGCTAGCTGAATTAAATATGTTACTCATTAGCTGTATGGTTATTAATTTTCTAGTTATTAAAAGCAGAAATTAAGAGGTTGGGTAATTTCTATTTGTGCAGTGTTGGAGTAGGTCTTATATCCATGAAAAAAATCAGCAAGTTGATGTCATGTTTATGAGTCAACAGTTTGGCTATATTGCATATACATAAAGTAATTTTTATATAGTATTAGCATATGTCCTTTGTAAGATCAATTTATAATTTTTAGAATATGTTCCCAAACTTTTGTTTTTGTAAAATATGAAACGGCAAATTCTGTTTTAATTCTTTATATTTAATGCCTACGCCTTTTGCATTTCATTGTGAAACATGTTTTCAGACATAATACAGATTTTTTTTAACTTTAAGTAAATTTGAGTATAAGAGAAAATATTTTTGTTCATATTTTCTTTAATGGAGAAAATTTTCTATACCAGATTTGATAGTTTTCAGTCTTAAAATTGAGATCTTCTATAGCTAAACAAGTTTCCACATACTATTCTTGATTAGTAATGAGAAATAGCTACAGCCAGTTCATGAATAGTATGCTAGACATAAAAAGAATGTATTTAAAACTCAACTGTGTGACTCCAGCAGTCTGCACTCTATCAGGTATGTCCTCCTGAAATCTGTGCATTCCCTCCTGTTCCCAGTCTACCCTCCTTCCTCTCCATCCATGCCCCCTTAGAGCCTGGAAAAAAGAAAAAAGGAGGGACCCTTTTGGCTTACTACTTTTAAAAGATTTTCTTTCTCTGGGGTAGATAGAACTTGTTGTGGAGATGAAGTTACCGTTGCGAGCTCAGTTAACTATTAGAAATACTGAAATCTGTCTTCAGTGTTCTTGGAACAGAAACTGCTTTGTCAATTTTTTTTTCTGCTATCCCTTACTGAGCTGTTACTATAGCTAAACACTATACTGAGTGCTTACCTATATTACCAATTTAGATCTCACAATACGCTGAGACTCTTTAAGGTGAAGCAGCTTGCCCAAGGCTATATAAATAATAGGTACTTGAGCATAGATTGGCATATTCCATTAATCACAGAGGAAGGGCTAGGGAGAGGTTTTGGGAGCTACCTGGGGAATGGGGATGTATTGAAAGACATGCATCAATTACATGATGAACATATTAGTAACGTGGTGAAAATTAGCAGAGTACTGCTACTAGCAAATATCACAGGACACTATATTTCATGTTGAAGTTTACCCTATTTTAATATCTTCTGGCTTAGTGGTGATGACAATGATAACTAATATTGAGAATTTTCTATATGCCAGGCCCTGTGGTAAGTGCTTTCCATGTATTATCTAATCTGTTCTTTAAAACATCCTAAGAAATACATATTATTATCTTCCAGAAAACTAAGGCACAAAGAATGTGACTAACTAGACCAAGGTCACCTAGCTAGTAAATAATGGGGTCAGGACACAAAACTCTGCTACATTGTATTTTCTGTTTCTCCTTCCCACAAGCGTTCTTTGTTTGACTCTATTATGAAAGCTTAGTTCAGAAATAAATCTTAACTGTGTTTTTTTCCCATCATGTTTAGGTATTTCTGTGACCATAGGCTTTAGAAGTGATTAATCAGAAAATACATATTAAGTTCCCACAGAAGTATAACTTAGTATTTGCTTAAAATTCTAAGCAGCAGTTTACCTAGAGGTAGTCCTAGGTATCTACTTGGCTTAAATATGTAAGTTTGCATCAAAGCTATGTCACGTTTAATCATTTTTATTTTATGCATAATTCTAATATTTTAAAAAATATTTCTAACATTAGGAGCGCAAGAGAGCTCTTGAGGCAGAACGGCAGGCCCGTGTAGAAGAATTGTTGATGAAGAGGAAAGAACAAGAAGCCCGAATTGAACAACAGAGGCAAGAAAAGGAAAAAGCCCGTGAGGATGCAGCCCGGGAAAGAGCTAGGTACCTCATTCGTGATCTTGATTTTGATCCTGACGAACATTTTGCACTGAGTGAATATTCAAGTCAGGTCTTAAGGTCATTTACTGTCATGCAGATTTTTTAGAAATAGTCACAAATAATGTTGTACTAAGTTTTGATTTTCAGGAATTGTTGACATAGTACTCAAAATGGAAATGTTTTGAAATTTTCTATTAGATAAGAAATTTGATGTTTCAAGATTTCCTGGTTGAAAAAATAGAATTCCTTTTTTTTTTTAAGATGGAGTCTTGTTATGTTGCCCAGGTTAGTCTCAAACTCTGGGCTTGAAGCAATCCTCCTGCCTCAGCCTCCCAAGTAGGTGGGACTACAGGTGTGCACCACCACATCTGGCTCAAAGAAATGGCATTTGGTTCTGGCTAGCTTAAGCAATAGGGAAGTTTGGGGAAGATACTGGGGGCATAAGTGACAGGAGGTTAGAGGGATCAGACATGGAAGTGACTAGCCGTAAAAGGCGAGGTTATATGAACCATAGCAGTAGTCTTTTGATGGAAATGGTCTGGTCAGCATGTTACCACTCTGATTATGATAATGACTTTTAGCCATGCCTACAGTTTGAATCATTTGTTTTAGATTCAAAGACACACAAAAAAAACATCCTCTGCCTCAATTATCAAAGCTTTATAGTAATTGTTGTTGTCTGATACTGTCACTCACCTTATGTTTCATTAGGACTGTCCTGGCCCTTTTCCACGTCTATTTTAGTTTTAGAATCAGCTTGCTCCATTCTATGTTAAAAAAGAAACTGTAAATTTTTTTATTGGAATTTCATTGAATCTATAAATTCAGATGGGGAGGTTAATATTTTTTATATTGAATAGTCCCATTTATGAGCATGCTACTAAATGTTTTTCTTTACATAAGGTGTATAACTTTTTTCTATAAAAGGTTTTTGTATGCATTTCTTTTTACTGTGGTAAAATATGTATGTAACAAACTTGACCATTTTAATAATTTTTAAGTTTACAGTTCAGTGGCATTATGCGCATTCACATTTCTGTGCAATCATCACGACCATCTGTATCCAGAACTTTTTGAGTTTCCTGGACTGAAACTCTATATCTACTAAGTAATAACTGCCCATTCTCCCACTCCTCCCCACCTCCCACCCCCCCGCCATCCTCCACACCCAGTCCCTGGCATTCACTGTTCTACTTTGTGATTTTATGAATTTGACTGCATTAGGGATCTCATATACGATGAATCACACTGCATTTGTCCTTTTGTGACTTAGCATAATGTCTTCAAGTTTAATCCATGTTGTAGCATGGGTCAAAATTTGTTCCTTTTTAATGCTGAGCAGTATTCCATTGTATATATAATGCCACATTTTATTCAGCCATTTGTTGAAGGACACTTGGGTTGCTTCTGTCTTTTGGCTATTGTGAATAATGCTACCATAAGCACGGGTATACAAATATATGTTTGAGTCTCTGATTTTAATGTTTTTGGTTATATAGCCAGAAGTGGAATCGTTGGGATCATATTGTAATTCTATTTTTAATTTCTTGAGGAAAGCAATACTATTTTCTATAGCAGCTGCACCAATTTACAACCAGCAATGCACAAGGGTTCTAGTTTCTCTACATCCTCATCAATGCTTATTATTTTTATTTTTTTTTTTGAAAATAGCCATCCTTAAGGATGTGAAGTGCTATCTCATTCTGGTTTTGATTTGCATTTCCCTAATGATTAGTGGTATTAAGCATCTTTGCATGAGCTTATTAGTCATTTGTATATCTTTTCTGGAGAATTGTCCATTCAAGTCCTTTGCATATTTTTTTAATCAGGTGATTTTCCCATTATTGAGTTGTAGGAGTTCTTCATATGTTCTGGATGTTAATCCCTTATGGGATATTTGATTTTAAGATATTTTCTCCCATTCTGTAGCGTTCATTGATGTACAAAAGTTTTTAATTTTGATGTAATCCAATTTATCTGTTTTTTTCTTTTGTTGCCTTTACTTTTGGTGTCATATCTAAGAAGTCATAGCCAAATCCAATGTCATGAAGTTTTATCCTTGGGTTTTCTTCTAAGAGATTTATAGTTTTAGGTTTTAGGTTTAGGTCTTGGGTACAGTTGGAGGTAATTTTTGTATATGGTGTAAGGTAAGGGTTCAGCTTCATTCTTTTGCATGTGGCTGTCCAGTTTTCTCATCACTATTTGTTGGTGAGAAACATTTCCCCATTGAATGGTCTTGGCACCTTTGTCAAAAATTATTTGACCATGCTTGCAATAGTTTATTTCTTGGCTCTCTGTTCAACTCCATTGGTCTATATGTCTTTCTTTATGCTAGTCCCATACTGTTTTTTTTTTTTTTTTTTTTTTTGCTTTTTATTTTTTGAGACAGAGTCTCACTCTTTTGCCCGGGCTACAGTGAGTTCTGTGGCATCAGCCTAGCTCACAGCAACCTCACACTCCTGCGCTCAAGCAATCCTTCTGTCTCAGCCTCCTGAGTAGCTGGGACTACAGGCATGCACCACCATGCCAGGCTAATTTTTTTTTTCTATATATTTTTAGTTGTCCGATTAATTTCTTTCTATTTTTAGTAGAGGCGGGGTCTCGCCGCCCGCCTCAGCCTCCCAGAGTGCTAGGATTACAGGCGTGAGCCACCGCGCCCGGCCCCCATGCTGTTTTGATTACTGTAGTTTTGTAGTAAGTTTTGAAATCAGGAAATATGAGACCTCTATCTTTGCTCTTTTTTTTCAAGATTGTTTTGGCAATTGAGGACCCTTTGAGATTGATATGAATTTTCCTATTTTTTCCATTTCTGCAAAAAATGTCATTGGGATTTTGGTAAGAATCGCATTGGTCTATAGATTGCTTTGGGTAATTTGGACATCTTAATAATATTGAATCTTCTAATATATGAACACATATTTTTCCATTTATTTGTGTCTTCAATTTCTTTCAGCAATGTTTTGTAATTTTCATTGTATCTGTTTTTCACCTCCTTGGTTACATTTATTCCTAAATATTTTTGTGGATATATTTTATGAAATTTTGTTATTATTTTATATTTTTATGCTATTGTAAATAGAATCTCTTTAAGTGCTTTTTTTATTTTTATTTTTATTTTTTATTACAGAGTATTATGGGGATACAAACATTCTGGTTACATGTAATGCCTTTGCTTTGCCCAAGCCAGGGCTACAGGCATGCCCTTCCCCCATACAGTGCATTCTGCCTCCATTAGTTGTGAGTTTATCTCACTCCACCTGACAGGCACCCAGTGAGTATTACTACCATGTGAGCACCTTAGTGTTGATCAGTTAGTACCAATTTGATGGTGAATGCATGTGCTGCTTATTTTTCCATTTTTGTAATACCTCACTTCGAAGGATGGGCTCAAGCTCTATCCAGGATAATATAAGAGGTGGTGGATCACCATTGTTTTTTGTAGTTGAGTAGTATTCCATGGTATACAAATACCACATTTTATTAATCCACTCATGTATTAATGGACACTTGGGTTGTTCCCACACCTTTGCAATTGTGAATTGTGCTGTTGTATTAATTTGCAATCCCACCAGCAGTGTAAGAGTGTTCTAATCTCTCCACATCTATGCCAGCATTTGTTATTTTGGGACTTTTTAATAAAGGCCATTCTCACTGGAGTTAGGTGATAATTCATTGTGGTTTTGATTTGCATTTCCTAATGATTAGAGATGTGGAGCACTTTTTTATATGTGCTACATTCCCACTAACGATGTACAAGAATTCCTTTTTCTCTACACCCTGGCCAACATTTATTTTTTGACTTTTTGATAATAGTCATCTTAACAGGTATGAGGTGGTATCTAATAATGCTTTTGATATCTGCATTTCCCTGATGATTAATGATGTTAAGCACCATTTCATATACTTGTTGATGATTTTTATCTTGTCTTTGGAGAAGTGTCTATGCTGGTCCTTTGCCTATTTTTTAATTCAGGTATTTGATTTTCTACTATTGAGTTGTGTGAGTTCTTTATATACTTTGAAGATTAACTTCTTATCAGCTACATGGTTTGCAAATATTTTTTCCCAGTCTGTAGGCTGTCCTTTCATTTTATTGATTGTTTTCTTTGTTGTACAGAAGATTTTTCTTTGATGTAGTTTTATTTTTTATTTTTGCTTTTGTTACCAGGGCTTTTGGTGTAATATCCAAAAAATCATTGCCACCCATTGTACATGATGCCTCCAGCTTTGTTCTTTTTGCTTGGCTATTCTGGGTCTTTTATGCTTCCATATGAAGTTTAGGATTGTTTTTTCTATTTCTGTGAAGAATGCCATTGAGATTTTTATAGGGATTGTGTTGAATCTGTATACAGTCGACCCTTGAACAACATCGGTTTGAACTGCGTGGGTCCGCTTATATGCAGATTTTTTTCAATAAATATATTGGAAAATATTTTGGCAATTTGTGACAATTTGAAAAAATTTGCATATGACCATATAGCTTAGAAATATCAAAAAAATTAAGAAATAGATACGTCATGAATACATAAAATATTTATATATAAAAGTCTACTTGTGTGTTAATTGACTGTTTATGTTATAGATAAGGCTTCCAGTCAACATTAGGCTATTAATAATTAAGTTTTGGAGGAGTCAAAGAGTATACTCAGATTTTTCAACTGCATTCAGGGTGAGAGGGAATCAGTGCCCTTATCCCCCATGTTTTTTAATGGTCAACTATATTGCTTTGGGCAGTATGGACATTTTAACAATATTAATTATTCTGATCCGTCAGCACAGGATATCTTTCCATTTATTTGTGTTATATTCAGTTTCTTTCATCAGTGTTTTATAGTTTTCAGTATACAGATCTTTCACCTCCTTGGTTAAATTTATTCCTAAGTATTTTATTTTATTTTTTTCTAGGCTTTTAAAAATGATTTTATTTTATTTTCAAATATGAAATTATTATCAATATTTAGATTTTTCCTCTTGATATTTTAATGTAATATACTAATTGTTAC